GTGTGTGTGTGTGTGTGTGTGTGCGTGTGTGAAATGGCAGTGTTATTAGCAGAGGCAGTGAATGAGCCCCTGCTGAGACAAGCCCAAAGCAGAGATAAGGGGAGAGACCTTCTATTAAAGGCAGGGTTACTAGTGGGCCTCAGGAACACACACACGCACACAGTAGCAGAACAAAAGACCTCAGCAGTCTCTCACACAATAATGAATGACTCAACAGGACCAAAAGAGTGGTGCTTAAACATTTTTGTTTGTTTTTTTTTATTCAACCTTTTTTTCCAAACCAGGAATGTACTAGTTTTTTCCTCTCTTTCGAGGTGTGTTTGGGAGGGAGAGAGGGGTCGCCATGATGAGTAGACAAGGGGGTAAGGAGGAGAGAAGAAGAGGAGGAGAGGACACAAAAAAACCCTTCTCAGACAGAGGTGTCCCAAATACAAAGTCTCAACACGTTACATACGAGAGCCACCTCTCTCCGCTGCCTCCGCTTGCTGTCTATTGGCACAAAAAAACACACTCACACACATGAACACACACACACTTTCACCGACGGAGAGGTGAGGGAGCTAGGCGGTGGCTGCTTCGTTATTTTTTTCTCTCTCCCCATAGAAACAGCGCTTTCTTCTTTCTCTTTTAAACATGACAAGCAGTGGCCGTGGCCGCGGTTTTTAGAAAAGCCAACGCGTTGAGTCGACCAGTCAAACACAAACAGTGAGAGCCAGAGACACGACTTTGAAATAACATCGACGTGGAAATCAAACAATAGCAGAAGAAAAAAACCAAAAACTTTGAGTCCAAGAGATACTTGACATTCTGCTGAGAGGGATGGGGGGGAGCGTAATGGGCTGAAAACGGGGCAGTGGCTTCTTCGTCGGAATTGACGCCGTAAAGTCCGAGACGTTTTGTTTTCCCCCCTCGCTAGGCAGCAGCCATTTTTGAACAAAATACTGTCAATTTTGGATTGGACTGCTCCCAAAGAGTTGCAGAAGTTGTTGAAGAGAGAGAAGAACAGACACTTCATTTGGCTTGGAGGATATTTTAGGTACTCTGAGCATGTTTAAATAGACATAGACTTAACAGCATACATAAAAGAAAGGAAAAAAAAACACAAGTTGGCAGTTGTACAAAAAGAAGTAGAGGAGTTTTCCCCCTTCATTTCATCTTTGAAATCAATTTAGATACAGTCAAATACAATCCAAACTCATTCATGGTATAGAAACATATCTGAACATCATCATCGTGTGTTAACCAAATCCATTTCAGACAAATGTGACACTTAAGTATGAAAGATTCTTATACAATGTTAGATACTGATACAAAACACAGTTGAGAAATGTCGTCAGGTCCAGATTTTAACACTGGCTTCACACAGAAAACATGGCTACGTCACTGGAGGCCTTATGTGTGTGTGTGTGTGTCTGAAGAAATAAAAAGCTTGAGCCTTTCCACTGCCACCCATTTTACACAAAAGCCATAAACATGTTTGAGCAACACAAAACTGTTTTGTTTTTTTTTAAACCTTTTTTTTTTTATAGTATGCACATGTGAACACATTGCACCTCTGAACACAGCTTTGTGTTATCGCCCTCAAGGTTGAGGTACTGGCGTGTTTGTGTGTGTGTGTGTGTGTGCATGAGGGCGTGTGAAAGAGGGGAGAAAACACGCCGCACACAAACGCTCTTTTCATCCCTCCCGTGTCCATCAGGTCAGTCTCGATCACAGGAACAGAGTCATATGAAAGCAATCAGCGTTTCTGTCGAGTGTGGGTGATCGCGTGTGTGAGAAAGCAAGCGGTGGCGATAGAGAGAATGTATGTCGTCCAATGCAATCAGTAGGCATCTGTGACAGTCATTAAAAGGTGTGAAATCTGTGTGGGATGGTGTGTGTGTGCGTGCGTGTGTGTGTGCCAAAAAGAGTGTGGTGACTGCTGGGGGGGGGGGGGGGGGATTTCTGTGTGTCCGCGGCTAGCAGTGCACTGTGTGTGCCTTTGTAATAAACAGAGGGTGGGTGATGCATTTCAACACAAACGTTGGCGGAAATGAGGGGCAAATCCGAAATGTGCCACCTCACGTTGATGTTAAGTGTGAGATGTGTGTGTGTGTGTGTGTGTGTGTGTGTGTGTGTGTGTGTGTGTGTGTGTGTGTGTGAGAGAGAGTGTGTGTGATGAGATCTGTCCTTTCCATGGTTAAAGTTCAAACTCCTCCAAAATCTGTTTCAGCTGTCGGTCCGTCGGCTCGAAAACCACTCCGTTCAAAGAAAATGTTTCTCTCCTCTGCCAGCCACTCTTGTCATTTGCTCCCTCCATCCTTCTTTCCTTGGGATCCTTCATCTCTCACTCCTGCCGCTCCCCTCAGCTTCTTTTTTCTTTAGTGTGCAATTTCTTCACAGTCTTTTCTTCCCTTGTCTCCCTCCCTCCCTTTCTTTTTTTTTAAGTTCTGCATTCAGACGCTGCTTTATTCCTCCTCCCCAGACAGCACTCTCTCTCTCTCTCTCTCTCTCTCTCTCTCTCACCCTGTTCTTTTCCCTTTATTCTTCTTTTTCATTTCATCCTCTCACCCCCCATCCCCCGCACTTCCCCACCATCAACCCCCCCCGCCCCTCACTTCTTTTCACTTCTGCGTTTCAAAAAAGCGTTTGAACAGAAAAAAAAAAAACTTTCATAGATGGTTCTACCTCAACACTTCCACAAACGAGGTCTAAACTTCAAAACTACAGCATAGTACAAGGAGCTATAAAAATATACACAGAGTTCAGAGACCCTAGAGAGGGGGGGGGGGGGGGAAAAAGGGGGGAGGGAGTGAATGGGAGAGGGAAGAGAGACACAACCTCTGTTCGCCGGGAGAATAAAAAAAAAAAAGGGATTAAATTAATATACAATGCAAAGGGAAAAGGAAGGAAACAAGGTCGTTCTAAATTGTGAAAAACAAAAACAGCAGATAAAAAATGTCTAGCAACAGAAGTGTAGTTTAACAGAGCGGGTAAAAATAATAAAACAATAGAAAACAGGAGAAAAAAAAACATCTAGAAATGATTTACTGGATATTCATATATATAATCTATAAGTGTTGATAGCGATAAAAAATCTCACTTTTTTGATATTCGCTCACTATTTTGTGTTTTGGTATTTAAGACAAGTCTAAAGAACGCACGCGTACGCACACTCACTCACACACAAAGCGTACACGCACACACAAACTGAACCCCACGCGCGCATATGCAAACTCATATGCAAAAGTCGCTGTACTGAAGCACACTAACCGCACACACACGTCTAATGTGGAGCAGCAGCGCCATAATTATTATCCAATGTGTATGCACACTCGCACTTGTCACACACACACATACATTATTAAAATATACAAGATTCTAAGTGTCACCGATTGGTCAGACCTCCTCAGGCTCAGGCCTGGGCCCGGGGGTCATGTGACCGCTGTCCGGGCTTGCTGATTGGGTGAGTCCGAGGCCCCCTATTTTTCTCAGGAGAAACAATCACAAACAAACTAGAATCCTATTGGTGAGTTAGTGGAAGGGGCCGGTCTCTGGTTGGCTGATGGAGCTCTGAGGGGTGGGGTCGGTGGGCTAGGCAGGTATGGCCTCTGGGAATCAGAGTTCTCCCGCGCTAAGTGGGATCAAGGGTGTCGTTTTTCTTTTGTTGAAGTCCTTTTAATTCTCTATTTTTTTTTTCTTTTGTAAAACAGCGCAAGTCCCAACGCCAGGTCCATCCTCCTAGAGACAAAGTGTGTCGCCACACACACACGAACACACGCTGGCGTTACGGGGACGACTCTTCAATTCTGCACGGGTGGGTCTCGTTTTGCTCTGAGTTAACAAGAAAGGGGGCTCTCAGAGGCTCTTGCCCATCCGTGAGGGCCTTGTTAAAAAGGGCTATGTACCAATACGACTGTGCCCTTAACACACACTTTGTGGCCCAGTGTGTGAGAATGGGGTGGGGGGTGGGGGGGTTATTCAGCTTGGAACACAACTGTGGCGGGGCTCACAGGGCAGTGAGTGTGTGTGTGTGTGTGTGTGGGTGGGTGGGTGGGTAGGTGGCGGGTGGGTAATGGGACAATACTGGTAGTATTGAGGGGTTCAGGGTCGGAGCTGTGATGGCTAGCTTTACTGTGGCTTCATTTGGAGCGGGGGGATTGGTTGGTAATGGTCAGAAGGAGGTGGGTGTGTCCAGTCGGCCGGAGCAGCGGCCGTCTCATACTTTGTAGTAGATGTTGGCTGGGCTCTGCGGCGGCATCTCCTGGACGATGTAGACGGGGTGTCCGTAGTCTCCGCTCACCTTCTCGTAGTGCGGGCAGTAGGCCGAGTCTGACGTCCGCAGGGGGATGATGATGTCGCTGGGCTCGGAGCCGTTGTTGTTGGAGCTGCCGAGGCCCCCGCCCCCTCCCCGCTTGGGGCTGGTGAGCGAGGACAGCGACAGTGGCGGGTGGTGGGTGTCCGAGTGCTTGGCGTGCCGCCGCCTGTAGCACACCACGCAGATCACGGCCGTCACCAGCAGGAGGAAGGCCGAGCCCCCCGCGGCCCCTGCGATCAGGGCGATGTTGGAGGGCTGAAGGGGCCCGTTCTCACCACCGCCCTCACCCCCGAAGCTGTTCGTCCCTCGGGACTGGGTGGAGTTCCCCGCTCCGCCTGAAACAAAATCACAGAACAATCTTACTCCAGTATTACAGGCTGCTTCCAGTGTTTCCCATGATTTATACATGCACGTTAATCCCCGCGAATATACCAGAGCAATCACAATTTACGTTTTTCATGAGCTTTTAAATAAACATACCGATGCTTATGATTCTGTCCCACAGTGACATGAGTAATGGTGGTGGTTTAGCGCCGCTAGTGAAGGCTGTGAAGACTTAACCCAGAGGAATGCAGCAAATCTCACAGACGCTCACATGTGGTCTCTTTATTGATGTAATGAAGTGGACAGCAGTGCTTATAGAATGGAGAGAACTGTCCGTATAGACTCCATGTGCGAGTGTGAGAGTACTGCGCCGCATATACGCTTGTGGACAGCCTGGCTAAGCCGCAGTGTGTGTCAAGGTAACATACTCTATTTCCCTAGCCTTAACAACTGTATTTACTTAGCATTACAGCCAGCCACATGAAGAGAGAGCCTCCCCGTCCTGCTTCTACCACCAGACCACACACTCCGTCTGCCTGCTGGCCGTCCTGCCCGTCTCTCTCTTTATCTGTCTGTCTGATTATCAAGCTGTCTGTCACACTATCTGTCTGTTTGTCAGCCTCTGTCTGTTGTGTGTCTGCCTGAAACCTAAGATCTTCACAGCCTCGGAGCTCACAGTTTTCTCAGCGGGAGGTTGGGTCAGAACTCAGCAGGTGAATGATGGTCTGGACGTGTGTGTGTGTGTGTGGGGGG